CTAGAGAAATTGGCATTCTCTACTCTTTAAGTTACTGGGAGGTAAAAGGCCAACTGGTTACCCATGCCCTTCCTTGCCACTCAAGTTGTTTGACAATTTTCTAGATCCATAGTAATCCCTTGCTAGTATTTAACAAATAAGGAAATCAATACCTCTTAAATTTGTTCCCAAAACCATCAGTTAATAAAATTTTTTTGTAAATCTGTAATGTAGCTTTCCTGAAGAATTTATAGGTACAGTCTACCTTTGTCAACGAATACTTGCACAACAGCACGTCTTCTTAGTGTTGGGTTTGTTTGAGGGAGGTTTTTGGTTTGGCTTTTGAGAGGGTAATCAATCCACATGTTTCAGATTAAAAAAAAAACATTTTTGGGGCGCCTGGGTGGCGCAGTCGGTTAAGCGTCCGACTTCAGCCAGGTCACAATCTCGCACTCCGTGAGTTCGAGCCCCACGTCGGGCTCTGGGCTGATGGCTCAGAGCCTGGAGCCTGTTTCAGATTCTGTGTCTCCCTCTCTCTCTGCCCCTCCCCCGTTCATGCTCTGTCTCTCTCTGTCCCAAAAATAAATAAACGTTGAAAAAAAATTTTTTTTAAATAAAAAAAATAAATAAAAATTTTAAAAAAAGACATTTTTTAACATTTATTCATTTTTGAGACAGAGAGAGATGGTATGTGAGTGGGGGAGGGGCAGAGAGGGAGACACAGAATTTGAAGCAGGCTCCAGGCTCTGAGCTGTCAGCACAGAGCCTGATGTGGGGCTCAGACTCATGAACCTTGAGATCATGACCTGAGCAGAAGTGAGATGCTTAACTGACTGAGCCGCCCAGGGACCCTCACATGCTTCAGATTTTAAAAGTACCAAAAGGTGGATAGTGACATATTTCTCACCCTTTTTTTTACCCCTGGAGGCAGTTCCCCATTTCTCAGGTACCTAATATATATCCTTACAGAGAGATTTTTTGTATATCTCCATCCATCTGTTAATAAAACCTATACATAATTTGATATTTTATCTAATCTCCTTTCATTCAAATGACAACATACCATGAGCACTGTTCTGTACCTTGCTTTTTTCTTTAGAGACCATCAAATATCATTAAGTAAAGACCAACCATAATTTATTTATGTCTAAATTATTTCTACTCTTTTACTGTTACAAATGATGCTGTGGTGAATAGCTTTGTGCATAAGTTATTATGTATTTGTGCAAGTAAATTGAGAAGATTAATCTCCCAGTGTGGAAGTGCTAGGTCAAAGTAGCACTTTGTATGTATAAATGTATAAATGTACATTTATAGTTCTGATAGATTTTGTCAGCTTGCTTTCCATAGAGGTGGTATTGAGTTACATTACTATCCAGTACTGTATTAGAGTGTGTCTCCCCCAAACTCTCTTCAACCCTTTCAATCTTTGCTATTCTGATAAGTGAAAATAGAATCTCAGTATAGATTTTAATGTACATTCCACGAATTATGAATAAGGCTAAGGATCTCCATGTTTCCAACTTGTTTCTGTTTCTTTGAGCATTCTGTTCAGTTCCTTGGCTGAGTTTTTTTCCTGTTGGCTATTGGTCTTGTTCATAATGATTTTCTGGGTTTTATAAGGTAAGGATAATTTCCCTTTTTTGGTGCTATGAGTTGCAGATATTTCTTCCTCTATTTTTATGTGTCTTTTGAGTTTGTTTTTGTTGGTCTTTGCCAATTTTTTTTTTTTAATGTGGGCAATTTTACAAGACTTTATTGGTGGTCTTGGAACTGTAGGTTATGATTACATAGGAACATTTTGAGGGAGCCAGGCTCTATTGCTCTGAATAGCATTAGCAAACCTTAAAGAGGAATGGAACAAAAAACAGCATGAGAACCTAAGATGGGGAAATGGATAACTTCTGATTGAAGTAATAAGGGCCTTTCAGTATGGCTTTCCTATTCACTTTGACTCCAATCTGGAGCACCATTGTATCAGCAGAGTTCTTGTTCCAAACAGTAGAAACTGACTAGTTAATTGAAGCAGAAAGGAAAGATACCAGGGAGCTCACGGAATCTAAGCAAAAGCTAGATAACAATTCTTGGAAAATAGACAAGACCAAGGACATCCATAGCCAAGATCCTGCACAGTCCCAGACCTGATTAGGACTGCTGCTCTCTGTGACATCACTGCCTCTAGAAACTGGATCTTGACAGGAGAATGAATGAACTGTCCCCACTTCATTGTGTTACTTGTCCCAGATATCTTTGTCAGAGGCATCAGATTCAGTGTCCTAGGTAAAAGCATTCAGTTGGCCCAGCAGTCATGAAAATTATGGACAAGTAAAGCTTGAAACTTTCATTTAACCAAAAACTGGTGAGAACATAGTTGATACGGAGTTACTTTATTTAGAATTCTGGCATTTTCCTTTCATGTAAAAGTTAAAACTTTGTTAAAGAAGATGACCTTCTCTGAAAAGTTTCATATTTTGTTCATTCTAAAAATATGAGATAGAGTTAGTCATAAATAAGCTAATCTCTCATAAGTACTGAGATGAGATCATTTCAGATCTGTCCATTACAACATTTTTAGTTTGTTGTGGGAATGGTAATGGTGCATTTAGAACAGTTTTGTCCTGTCTATTCAGCGTCTTTGGTTTCTATGGAAACAGACTTAACATTGACCCGGATACTCTGGGCTTTTTTTCCAACAGGCAATTATTTCATAATGAAAGAGCCTCAGATTTTATTATTAATCCAGTCTTATTCCACAGTTCTGCTGCAGTGCAGCAGATGTGTTCCCACTCTATGCAGTAAAATCCACAAGGTTTATGAGAAAAAATGAGATTGGGGCACAACACTCAAGAACTTCATCAGTGATACATAAAAAATGATAGAAACCTAATAAAAACAGCACAGTTTTGCACATGTTAATTGGTTAAAAGGCACATAAATACTACAATTAATAGGGTACTATACCTTCTAAAAGACCTGAAGTTTGCTGTGAAAATGCAGTTCATAAGAATCAGGGCTTGTAAATTGTTCTGAAGGAATGGTAGGAAGAGGATGACATGATTGGATCAAAGTTATTTTACCAGATGTGGATGGGCACTGCTCACAGCACCCATACTGTACTAAGGTCACTAGAAATGGTTTGGGTTATGTCCTTGTGTGTGTTTTGTATATTACTATGAGTCTCAGAGCAATGGGGTACCAGTTTGTGCATTCACATAGTGTTTTTCTTGGACAAAAGTCACATTATGCTCAAATTGTGCTGTCTTACATCACTTGCATTGGAACAAGTTTATGTTTTTAAAAGAAGCATTGTAGCAGACCTGAGTGTATTTTACTAGAATAACTTGATAATGTATATTTTAACGATTGGGAATAGGAAAAAATGACTGATGTTTTGACTTCATAACAGTAAAGAAATGGTTCAAAAATGATCTTTCTTTTATAATTAGCACTGTTTTATATTTGCATTCTATGTACTTTTTTAGTAAATTTGGATATCTCCATATGAAAGATTAAGGAGTTAGATGCCTTTCATTAAGATAATAGAGCAATTCTTTCCTTGCCCTCTGGCTGATGGAAGCCCTTATTGGAGATTAAAAGCAGTTTCAACTCTCTCTCTCTCCCCCCCCCTCCATATATATATTTCACCCATAAAAAGGAATGGCATTCTGATAATGTGTTACAACATGGATGGTCTTGAAAACATTATACTAAGTAAAATAAGTCAGACACAAAAGGACAAATACTGTATGATTCCACTTACATGAGATTCCTAGAGTAGGTAAATTTATAGAGGAAAAAAGTTAGTGTTTAGGATGTTGTACAGCATTATGAATGTACTTAATGCCACTGAATTATATACTCAAAAATGTTTAAGGTGATAAATTTTATGTATATTTTATTTTTAAAAAATCAATTTTAATTTATGTCTTCTCTCTTATTTAGATCTGCAACATTTCTTGTGTGTATCACTAATTATACAGAAATACTCTAAATATTTCTAAAAACTGATCAGACTGAATATGTGACTGATAGTTTTCTCTTGTCAAAATTTGAGTGGTGCATTTGGATGTTTCTTATAATACCTATCAATTAAAGTATTTTTCTGGATTTTTACCAATTCCTTTAATAAAGCCAGTTTGTTTTTCTTCTAAGGGAGAGCAGAAAAACATTTTTTTATCCCAAATATTCATATATGTATGTGTGTGTGTATAAATATATATATGTATATACATGTATATAAATATACTATATATAATAACTAATATATGTAATAGTATATATAATAAAAATATTAGCACATATGATAGTATATAGGGAATATGTATATGTACACACATATGTAGTTAATTATTTTACATTTGAGGGACAGGCTGAAATACTCAGGAATTTCTTGCTCAGTGTTAGAGAATTCTTGGAATGTTTAAGCTTTTGACTATAACGCTGTATTTCTGTTAAATTAGAGAAAAATATATTCTGGAGTTATTTTTAAAATACTGTCAAAGAAGATACCATATGGTTTCACTCTTATGTAGATCCTGAGAAACTTAACAGGAACCCATGGGGGAGGGGAAGGAAAAAAAAAAAAAAAAGAGGTTAGAGTGGGAGAGAGCCAAAGCATAAGAGACTGTTGAGAACTGAGAGCAAACTGAGGGTTGATGGGGGGTGGGAGGGAGGAGAGGGTGGGTGATGGGTATTGAGGAGGGCACCTTTTGGGAGGAGCACTGGGTGTTGTATGGAAACCAATTTGACAATAAATTTCATATATAAATAAAAATAAATAAATAAATAAATAAAATAAAATAAAATACTGTCAAAGAAAGTAATTTGAGTAAATTGGATTTTCCAGTGATTCCTAATAATGATGACAATTGAATAGTGTTAACTAAGCTGGGTCAAGAATATTTTTTTCTTTTTTTTAAAGAAATTCTACAACAAGTGGTTTCTTAGCTTTTCCATGGAATGGAATTATTATGTTTCTACCTTTTATATGTCTGCTAAAATGTTATCCAATTATATTTCAGGTTGCAACAAGGACAGTGTCCGGGCAGGCTGTAAAAAATGTGGCTATCGTAAGTACATTAAAAAATAACGTTGTGAAGAGTGAATCATTGCCTCCTTGGGCAATGTGATTTGGCATCCTGATTTCAGGGCCCTGATTTCATCTTAGTTCTTTAGCCCTGTTATTCAGGCCAGATTTGCAGATGATTCAGAAATTCTCCTAAATAGTTACTTTCTTCCCTGCTGTAGACTGAGTGACAGGTGGCTATGTATCTGTTGACTAGCAAAGATATCAAGTACAAGTGGAGTAGTAGATTTAGGAGCATGCAGAAAGTATATTCCCCCCCAGAAAGTACATGTATACTTATTCTTTTACTCTTTGTTCTTCTAGATACTGGGTGAAGAGGGGAAGCAATGAAAATTATTTTCTTTATGAGGATAATATTAGTCCCAGAATTTCTGCTCACTGGCAAAAACTTGATTTAAACAATCATAAATGTCTATTATGACTAATGAAATGGGATAGAAAATTAAACTTTAACATGCAGTTATATAGTCTAAATTTATAATTATGTACCTTAAATACCATTTCTTTAGTTAAATGTAACAATTCTTAAAGGTTTGATAACAGCTATAACAGTAGCATTTGCTATTTTTGTTTTCTTTAAAAAAAATTTTTTTTAATGTTTATTTCTGAGAGAGACACAGTGTGAGCAGGGGAGGGGCAGAGGGAAAGGGAGACACAGAATCTGAAGGAGGCTCCAGGCTCCGAGCTGTGAGCACAGAAACCGATGTGGGGCTTGAACTCACAAGCAGGGAGATCATGACCTGAGCCAAAGTCTAACAATCGACTGAGCCACCTAGGCACCCCAGCATTTGCTGTTTTCTCACTTGTTTGGAGACCATGCAAGTGAGCCTGGATTAGGGTTAATGATCCATACAAAATGTATCCATCTATTTCTTTATTAATTTAGAAGTATAGTTATATTTGATGCACAATGTTACATGAGCTTCAGATGTACAGTCTTATTAAAAAAATAAATAAAGGTGATTTAAAAAATTTTTCCATGTAAGAACATGTGATAAAAGAACCCTCAGCATAAATCTCCATTAAGAGGGCTCATAATGAAAGCATGCTGGGAGAACCAAGTCACATGCCTCCAAGGGAAGGCTGAGATGTGGCTCAAGGGAATCTTGCTCAATTAGCAAATGTGGATACATAAGTACACATATCCTTGACATAAATAAAAACTACTGAAGAATATACTTGCATGCAAGAAATAAGTGCAGTGAAATCTTTTCTGTGTTTTAGGCTTGTTTATATTTATTTCTGCTTTGTATCCTTTCTTTAAATCTTTGCTAATTTCTATATTTCATTTTTATTTTTAAATTAAAAAAAGTTTTTATTTGATAGAGAAAGCTCATGAGGCAGAGAAGGGCAGAGGGAGAGAGAGAGAATCCCAAGCAGGTTCCATACTCAGAGTGGAGCCTATTGCAGGGCTCAGTCCCAGGACCACAAGATCATCACCTGAGCCGAAATCAAGAGTCAGACGCTTAACCAACTGAGCCACCCAGGCGCCCCCTCCATATTTTATGTCTTGATTCAAGACTTAGGAATGTGCTCATCCATGCTCTCTCTCTCCTTCCCTCTCCTCTCTCTCTCTGTCTCTCTCTCTCACTCTCCCCCCTCCTCTCCCCCCCACCTCTCTTTCTCTCTCTCTCTCTCTGTCTCTCTACATATATACATATATGTATATGTATATAGCATATACCTATATGCTGTATTATGTACTTAAAAATCTAGAATGAATTTCCCAATCTCTCTACTAATGCCAGTTTATCTCCTTGAACTACTTTTAGCTTAAGACTTACAGGAAAATAATCAAAATAATGTTTTGGAAATATAACATTGATCTAGTCTCCTTATTGCTTTTTTATTTTACACAGTGATGGAAGTATCTGTAGTAACTAGAATTTTTTTTAGAGAAGCCAAGTAAGCAAATAGCTTTGACAGTCTTTCTAAGTTTAGTTCCTATAGTTACTATTTTGATCTATGATTTTAGTGATAAAGTTATTAAATAGCTTTTCATTTATCTCTTTTGCAAAACTTTAGTAATCCTTCCCTTCTGTGTTAAATTTACATCTTATACCTGTTAAAGATGAAGGTCTTCTCAATTTGCATGCCTTTCTGATAGAAATTACATTTTAAAAATTATCTGTTATTTGTAGGCCAGAATCTTTGTATTGATTGTAGATGTAAGAGAACAGTCCACAGAACTCTGAAATGTTTTTAATACCTTAAAATATGCATATTCATCATTTAGTTACAAAGGAGTATTGTCTCTCTATTGTTGTGAGACTAATGGTTTAGGTTGTACAGTTTTTAAATTTTATTTATTTTGAGACAGAAAAAGCGTGAGTGGGGGGAAGGGCAGAGAGATGGGGATTGGGGAGAGAATCCCAAGCAGGCTCCATGCTGCCAGCGCAAAGCCCAACATGGGGCTCTAACTCACAAAACCATGAGATCATGACTTGAACTGAAACCAAGAGCTGGACGCTTAACCAACTGAGCCACCAAGGTGCCCAGGATGTACAAAACAATTTAACACTCGACTGAAGAAGATTTTATTGTGTCCGTATGTTTCAGTAATGGCTATATAGTTTTAAAAAGTTTCAAGTTAAGGATGAATCTGTTACTAAATAACATGGATGTTGGTTTTTCATGGCAAAGTTTCCTCAACAAAATTAGAAGAATTGTTTATTTCTATGATGAGTTTTTATATGAATACTTTTGAAGTTGGCAACTTCTAAATACTTAAAAGCTACCAGAACACTAAGCTTTTGTCATGGAATAAATGTCTCAATTATGATAGTTCTCAGAAAATACACCTTTAAAAAGTTCAGGATAGGATACTTCAGTAATTGAGCATTTGCTCATAGTAGCAAGAAATAAAAACACACCTAAATACCTTTAATGTTTATTTAACCTAAAATGCTAATCTATTGATATACATTCATGACCTTGTCTTTGCCTATGAGTCTGCTAATTATTGTTTCACATAGTCTTTTAAGTGCAAATTATTATCTGAAATGCATTTCCTACTTGTATAGTTTGTTTCTTCCAAGATAAGCAAGCAGCAATAATGAGAAAGAAATTTGAGTCCAGAATCACTTTATCATTAGTTCTCAACTAGGGTTAATACTGCCCTCCTGGAAATCTGTGGCCTTTTTTTTTTTTTTTTTTTTTTTTTTAATTTGCTCCTATGTGCTTGTGGTTGGGTAACAGTATGATCTTTTTTTTTTTTTTCCAACGTTTTTTTATTTTTGGGACAGAGAGAAACAGAGCATGAATGGGGGAGGGGCAGAGAGAGAGGGAGACACAGAATTGGAAACAGGCTCCAGGCTCTGAGCTATCAGCCCAGAGCCTGACGCGGGGCTCGAACTCACAGACCGCGAGATCGTGACCTGGCTGAAGTCGGACGCTTAACCGACTGCGCCACCCAGGTACCCCAACAGTATGATCTTTAGTATGTATGATTTATGGTTTATAAACATCCTGGGATGTGTAAGGTAGTCCTGGACAGTGAAGAATTGTCTGGCTCAAAATGGCCATAGCACCCCCTTTGAGAAGCAGGTACCTTTTCTCATTGTTTTAGATTCTTTCTCAATCTTGTACAGTCTTGATGCCAGTACCTAATTTGAAAACTACTCAAACTACTCTTTAAAATTAATCCATTTAAATCAAGTGTTTCCAAAAGTACAACTTTGTTTTATGGAAACAACCTCTCTTTTTTGCTCCACATTTGTATTTTTCACTTACATGATTTTATATAAGCAAACTTTGGAACAATAACAAACTCTTAGTGGAATAAAATATCAACAGGTAAAGTAAAATATCTAGGCATGAGCTAAGGAAAAAGTGACCAAGAAGGTACAATACTAGAAGAGGGAATGGGCAGCAACAGATACACCAAAAGAGTAAAGATTTTCAAAGTTGAGGGAAAATTGTCAGATGTAACCATTAGGATTTGTAAGAATTTGTTTGAAAATTGTTCATTGAATTTACCAGGTAGAATGCTTCTTTGACTGTGGGAAGATCAGTTTAAGTAGAGTGGTAGGTCATGAAGCAAACTATGTAGATTCAGGCCTGAATTGCGATGGATAAAAAAATGGAGAGCTTGTATGTATAGTCTCCTGTTTCAGGAAATTTGCATAAGTAAAGTAAGGAGCTTTCTCAGTCTTCATGAGCTACTATAACAAAATACCACAGGCCCAGTAGCTTATAAACAGAAATATATTGCTCATAGGAGGCTGTAAGTCAAAGTTCAGGGTGCCAGCAAGTTTTCCAGGTCATAGACTTTTCATTTTTTACTTGCACAGTGGAAAGGACTAGAGAGTTCCTTGGAGATCTTTTATAAGGCACTAATCCCATTCATGAGAGTACCACTCTCAGAAACCTAATCACCTCCCAAAGGTCCCATCAACTAATACCATCCCCTTTGGGAGTTAGATTTCAACATATGAATTTTGAGGGGATACAAACATTCAGGTCATAACAGGAACATATTGAATACAGTTGACCCTTGAACATCATGGGTTTGAACTGCACAGGTGTAGTTTTATATAGGTTTGTTGTTGTTGCTGTTTTAGATAGAATACAGTAGTAGAACATGAACCACCACATGTCTCCTTCTCCCCACCTGCACTTAGCCAATCTAGATCATAGAATGATACTCATTTCTTGCTTGTCTACCTAGGAAGCAAGGTGTTCCACACCACCTCCTTCCACACAGGAAGGTAGAGAACTAGGGAAGGCAAAACACCAGTACCCTTCTCTCTAGTGAGTCCTCTAGTGAGTCACCCAGTCCTCTACATGTGATTATAGTGCAGTTTCTGCTTGTGGAAAATGGCTGTGAAGGGGTGAGCTGCCAGTTCCCCAGCAATATTAGATCCCCTCCTCAGAAAACGTTCAGCACCCTGGACAGTGCCCCCACCCCACTGAGACCCAGGCTTCTCTGTCTGATACTGTCCCCTCCCTGGGGCCCTCCCTGGTGTTCTCCCACACCCCTTG